GTAATGAATCACAGACCTGTACCCCTGAAGCAAATAACACATTATATGTTAACAGTAAAAAACAAATTAAAGGGGCGCCTCGGTGGCTCAGTGGGTTAAAGCCTCTGCCTTCGGCTCAGGTCATGATCCCAGGGTCCTGGGATCGAGCCCCGCATCGGGCTCTCTGCTCAGCCGGGAGCCTGCTTCCTCCTCTCTCTCTGCCTGCCTGTCTACTTGTGATCTCTGTCTGTCAAATAAATAAAATCTTTAAAAAAAAAAATTAAATAAGTAAGTAAATAAATAAATAAAACCATTCAGTGATTTTTCGTTGCCTACAGGATAAAATCTAAACTCCTCAGTGTGGTAATCCCCATGATTTGACTCCTACCAACATTCAGAAGCCCATTTGAGCTCATCCAGAAGCTCAGGTAACAGCTTGGACATGTGATTGCTGTCTGAAGTCGATGGCAATCTTGTGGCAAACCTGGGAGGTCTGTACTAACTCCAGTCAAGCATCACAGGTGAACTCTAGGATACACAACTGTCAGGGAAGGTACATGCTTGGACTAGAGAAGTGGAGAATTGGTTGGTGTGGGTAAAACTCATACATTTGGTGTCAGAAGTGTTGTGAGTAGAGAAAAAACAGTTTTCCTTAATATTAAAATAGTCATGCTTAATATTTTGAACTCCCCAACATGTCCAACACGCCATGCTCCTACCCAAGTTGATGCTTCTACCTAGAATGCCTCCTCAGCTACCTGATAAAGACCAGCTCAGAATCACCTCTTTTGTGAAGGCTTTCCTAATGCTTCTCAGGCAGAACTGACCTTGTCCTTATCCTTGCATACATCCCTATAGGTATGTAGACCATAATCTTCAACTACACTTACTTGTATATGTGTTAATTTCTTATTAAACAGATAACTCCCTGAGGGTAGGACAATCTTATTTATCCTTATAACTCGGTTCTCACTCAGTAATAGCATATCACAGTCACTCAATGAAAGCTTCCTTAACAAAGGACCCTTCCCATCCTTTACTGACTACTCTCACACTGGATCTACAGACTCTACCTTTCCATTCTGAGGAAATTAATTTTGCTGACCTTACCACTTCGTCCCCACCTAATTGTTTCTAAGTTTAGTCCCATAAAGTCCACCCTGAGCTTCTTTAACTCTAGCTTCTACTTTTACCAGCTCAGGCCTCAGGTTTCTTGCCCACCTTCCCATTCAAATTCATGTCCACTGTCCAGCTGCTCAGAGTCTGAAGGTGTCTCCAATTCGTCTACCTCCAGGTCAGAACTACCATCAGGAGAGGAAGGTACAGAGTTTGTGGGAGAAGTTCCATCGCCTCCAGTGCCCTTGGTCAGATTTAGTCGCAACTCTGGGGCAGAAAGACGCTTCCGCATGGGGCGTGGGCCACACAGGGCTAAAGTGCTGGGTGTACCTGGGGTTGGGATAGAGGGAGAAAAGAATAGAAAAGTCTGTGTTGGCAGGGGAGTTAGGAATTCCTGCATATGATAGTGATATATGGGGTGAATTCTAAAGAACTTCCATGGCGGGGGTGGGGGGTTCCTGGGTGGCTCAGTGGGTTAAAGCCTCTGCCTTCAGCTTAGGTCATGATCCCAGGGTCCTGGGATCAGTCTTGCATCGGGCTCTCTGCTTGGCAGGGAACCTGCTTCCTCCTCTCTCTCTCTCTCTGCCTGCCTCTCTGCCTACTTGTAATCTCTGTCTGTCAAATAAATGAAAAAAACAAAAACAAACAAAAGAAAAACAACCAAAAAAAAAAAAACAAACTTCCACGGCGGCTATTTGGGAAAGTAGCAGTGGAACCACAAGGGAGTGAGGGCAGCACAGCCCTTCACTAGCCTGGCATCAAGAACTTGTGGCCTAGGTTCAAATTTACCTACCTGACTGTGAACCTCTCTCAGGATCATCAGGACCTTCAGAAGGGTCGGCTTCTTCAGGAAGAAATCTAGAGGGGCAAGATTACAAGGGGGGCAGAAATGCAGGTTAAATGAATCAAGCCAGGTATCAGTTTATCAATCCTCTCACCAAGATATGATTTTTTTTTTTTTAAGATTTATTTATTTGAGAGAGAGAGAGTACACAAGCCACGGGGGGCTGGGGTTGGGGGGTGGGAGGGCAGGGAGCATTGAGGGAGAGAAAGAGGGAAGCAGACTCCCTGCTGAGTGCAGAGCCCAAGGCAGGGCTTGATCCTCTGACTCTGAGCCAAAAACAAGAGTCAACTGACTGAGCCACCTGGCACCAGCCCCGATAAAATCTTATCAATCTTACTGCCTCTGTCTTCTTTTAACCCAACCTTCCTTCAAGTCCTAATTTATCATTCCCATCTTCCATTCAGGAGCATCCCTCTGGTCCTTACCTGGGGAATTCTTCATCCTGCCACTCCTCCTTCAGCTCCAGTTCCCCAAGTCTCAGGGATGCTGCTGGGCGCGCTGCCTCGGCATTCTCCCCGGCCCTACAAGCCCCCGGGGGAAGGGATGATCATGAGACAAACTAGGCCGTGTCTTAAGGGAGCTGGGTTGTAGGTAGGAGACTGGAATGAACAGTAATGAAGGTACGGAGCAGAGCACAGGCCTGAAAAAAGATGTGGGCTCTCATCTCCTGAACAGATACCCCTACCACACCCACTACTACCTGGAGACAGTTGAATCCTCCAGTGGGGCTTAGGAGCCAAGGGAAGCTGGGAGGAAAGATGGGACACGTAGAGCTAAGCCTGTTAACCTCTGTGGCATTGCTCCACCTACACAGAGTTGGGTAGAGATAGTCCCCATTACGCCTGGCTGGAACCTGACAGACCTGCCCAGCTGTCACTAGGCAGAGTTGGGGAAGACAGTAGCACCTCATTAAGCCTGCCTTTCCTCCACCAGCTGGGGAGTGGTCAGGGAAAACCACGACAGAGGCAGACAGGTCGGGGAAGACGGTAAGGAGGAAGAGCGAGAGTGATCTGCTGGGAAGGAGTACCGGGACCTAAAATTTCCTTCTAGATCAGCTTTCCAGAGGGCCATTCTCGGGAGTGGGTGTGAGAAAGCAGACAACAAGGGGTCGTTTTATAGACCTGAAATAGAGAAGTTTCCTTTAAAAACAAAACGATAGGGAACTAATCTGAAACCCCCCAGCTCCCCATTTCCTGCCTAGAGCCGCAAACTACCCCTTCCCTGCGGATTCGCCCTTTTGCTGTCATGTCTCTTCCAGGAAGCCGAGAATTGCCCTGGTCAGAGCTCGACAGTGGCAAAATCCCTCAAGACTTGTTTCCAATCAAGTGAGCCAGATCTTACTTACCCAAGGTCTAATGTCTTTTCTCCAGCTTCTTGTGTGGTTCCCATCTTCAGGGTCTTCCTGCCTCCCTCAGCCACTTTGCAGCTGTCCGGGAGCTCCTTGTCCCAGCTCCCCAGCACTTCTGTGTCCTTTTTCTCTGTCTCACTGTTGTTGCTCTTGCCTCCAAGGAGGAGGGAGGTGTGGAAGGGAGGTGTGGAAGGGAGGTAACCTTACCTTCAAACAGGTTTTGCCACCTCCCTTCTTTTCCCTTCCCAAGCAGCAGGTTTGCCCAAAAGAAAACCCTGCCTATGTGGGGGCGGGTTTTAGGGAAGAGAGGACATTTTCTAAAGTGTCTTGTCTTAGGGGAGTTGAGGAAGGCAATTTGTTTTCTCATCCAGACTCCTCATAACTTCTGGAAGCTGCTCTTTAAAAAAAAGAAAAGAAAGAAAGAAAGAAAAAAAGGGGGGAAGGCAATGGTAAAAAAATTTTGGTTTTAAGACTATGCTTATAAAGCATAAGCAAGATTGGAAATGCCGTTATTAAGAGCGCTCTGGAAGAAGAAACGAATGAAAGGCCCAGGATACGGAGAGATGGAAAGGCTGTTGCTCTCCATTCCCCAAAAAAGTTAATGAAGGGAGACATTCCATATGGCAGGAAGAAGGGAGATGAATCTTGAGGAGGCTGAAACCATTATCGGAGGTAAAAAGAGACAATAAGACCCCAAAGAGGAAAAAAAAATGTATTTAATACTTTAACAAAATGCAAAATAAAGTACCCAAGTTACAAAACATAAATTCCTTTGGTTCAGTAATCACACCACTATATTTAACTTCCAATGGCTACAGACATCATCCCCTCAAAGTGAAGTCATACCATCCCCCTCATACTGAAGACATCATGCCAAAACTATCTCACATACCCCACTGTCCAGTGGAACCACAGGCGACGTACAAGAAGCTGGGCTGTGGGGCAGGACGAAGAGGGACCAGTTGGTCTGAAGGGAAAAGGGAGACTCTACACATGCAGAACAAGTTGGTGGGGGAGTTCTCTGCTGGGTCACAATGGGATGAATTATACCCCTGTACATGCTACGTGAGGCTGAGTCCCTTGATAAAATCACATAGAAATATAGACAATTTGGCCACCCCGAGCATTCCCAGGGAGGAGAGAAATGAACAAATACAGAGAAGCCAGGAAAGAGGTGATGGCAACAAGAGGCAGATCACAGAATACCAGAGAATATCCAGTTCAGATCCTTAGTTTTACAGATGGGGCAGATGAGGCCTAGAGAAATGAAGTGTCTCACCAAGAGACACACAGTTCACGGCAGTCGGTGTAAGAACTCCATACTTCCTTTCAACATGAGCAAGAAGAGAATGGGACGGACAAGAAATTGCCGGGCCTCCAAGGCATAGCCCAGAGCTGGGCTCTCACTGCAGTTCTTCTGCCTTTTGGGAAGAGTGCCTATGGGGTCTTAAGGCTTTCCTGGATGTCTCCTGAACTCTTAAGCACCAGGGGTCTTCTGGGTCTTTCTTGGGTCCCCGTGGCTCTGGGACCGAGGGATCCAGAGAAACTGAGAGCCAGGCCAGCTGACCAGGACAGAAGATGATGTCTCTTAATTGCTCCCCACCGATCTTAGAAAAGTCATCATCAGCTCAGAATACAAAAGTAGCCATCTCGGCCTCGGCTATCATACCTAACTCGGGACAGAAAGAGGTCATGGAGATGGATTCTGCTGAAAACTGGAAGAGGAGTCTGCAAAGCACACTCTATTTTCTAGCTAGCTGAAAGTAGGTATTCAATCGATAGCTGAATGAATAAGAGCATAAATGAATACACGGAGACAATGAATGGTTCCATGAGAGATACTGGTTCTGTCACAGAGCCTTACGGAGGGGGTGCCTTCTTGAGCTGCTTGCTGGCACTGTGTGGGTATCACACTGTACCCTCGGCAAAGGAAATACAGGAGAGTCAACGCAGGTTTGAAGAATTCAGTTAAATAATACGACCTGTCTGATTGGTAGAGATCTGGGGAAAAAGCAGGAAGCCATCCCTAAAGCAGCTGTTTTCTTTCACTTCTTTCTTCTCTCCAGTTCACGAACACAGTACACCAGATCCCGGAGCCACAAAGACAGAACCGCCGACACATCTCAAAACATGCATTTGAAGTGGTTCAAGGAACCTCTCTCTCCATCCTGTGCCCTCCCAGCAGTCACTTCGTAGACAGGGAGGCTGTGGTCGACTGTGACTGCGAGATCTGACTGCACTTCTCAAAGATGGCCTCGGCAGAGAGTTTGGGTAGCCCCTGATCCAGTGGGCACTCATCCACCAGGCTGTTCATGGGCGTCGGGGGTAGTGGGGGCTCCTCCTCATCTTGACTCAGTCCGGGAAACAGGGAGTTACCCGCCCTGTCCAGTTCCCTGTCGGCCTGCTCCCGGCACACACCCTCTGTCTCCAGCTGCCCAGAAGGGATCCGCATGGACTCAAAATATGCTGACAGGGCCTCCTGGAGCAGAGGGAGAAGTTTCTTCCGAGAGATCTGGGTGTTGCCCTGAAGATAGGCTTGGAGGTGCGGGTGGGCGCTGGGGGCAGGGGTCAGCTTCAGGGATGGAGAATGGGAGCGTTCCAGAACTCCGCAGATCTACAGAGGAGACGGGGTGGGGAGATGGTGCATAAGGTGGGGAAGCATACATCTGTGGTTTCCAAGTTAGAGACTTCTTTGACAGAAAAGCATTTTTTTTTTAAATTAAATCACCCAGAGTTCAGTATTATTGCTTTGAAAAAGGCCCATTAGCTAATAATATTTGGAAACAGAAGACGCATTTGAGATCATATATTTCATTTAATTAATAAATAAACCCAAGCCTGAAAAGATTAAGTATCTTGAGCAAAATCATGTAGATGATGGGAGAGTCTGAATCACAACCCAGGACCCCAAGCTCCTGACATAGTGTTGTTTCAAGTGCTTAAAAACTGGATGGATCTTGATCCTTAGCTATAATGGGACATGCATCTAAATTGAGGTCAGGGGCAAGACAGAGGCATAAAGAATGAATAGATCAAAGATCAAAGTGGGGGCAGAAGGTATGCCAGGCACCGTGTGGGGTCTGACCACTTACAGTTATCATCTCATAGAATCGTCACAACTACCTTGTAAGATTGGTATTAGTATTACCCTCATTTACAGGTAGGGAGACAGAGGCTTAGATGGATTAAGTCACTTGCCTAAGGTCATAGTTTGAATGAAGCAGAGCTAACACTTGAACCCAGGACCACCACCAAAGCCAGTGTTCTAAACCACTCTTATATAATTTCTACCATGGGAGGAAGAAGAGAAGGTACGGTACACTGTGAGAAGAGGGGTGCACTGGGGGAGACTTTAGCTATCTGCACAGCTTCAGAGAACAGCAAAGGGGGGTGTGATGGGGAAAAGGCAGGGACATTTTGGAAGGCTGGGGAAGGCCCTTCCCATGGCCCTTTCCTTCATGACATGATTAGTAAGAGCCACCATTCGCTGAGTGCTTACTCTGAGCTGAGCAATGCGCTTGCCATGCGATCTTATGTTTAATGATGACATCAGACTAATCACTGGATGATATTAGCTATGTACTGACTCAGAAGTCAACTGACTTGCCTGAGCCCAAGGAGCAGGTAAGTGGCAAATCTGGGACAGAAAACATGTCTAGCCTTTTAAAACTATAGTTTTTGGGGCGCCTGGGTGGCTCAGTCAGTTAAGCATCTGTCTTTAGCTCAGTTGATGATCCTGGGACCCTGGGATCAGCCCCGAATTGAGCTCTCTCTCAGCAGGCTGTCTGGTTCTCCCTCTCCCTCTGCCTGCCACTCCCCCTGCTTGTGCGTGCTCGCTCGTTCTCTCTCTCTCACATAAATAAATAAAACTGTAGTTCTTCCCACAATGCCAAACTACCTTCCACTAAATGAAATTATATTTGCTTCCAGAAATGACTGAGCCACCCAGGAGTCTCTATAACATGGCTTTTTAATCTGATTTAAAATTCCTTCTAGACAGGAACTGTGTCTCCAAGTCTCTTTGGAATCTTTCTTTCTCAACAATAGTACAATTAAGACTATTCACATATAGAGAGAATGGGAAAAAGCAAGGAGGGAGGATTCTGGAAAAAGGTCAAGGGACTCCTATGTAAATATAAGAATCAAGGGGCACCTGGGTGGCTCAGATGGTTAAGCATCTGCCTTCAGGTAAGGTCATGATCTCCACGTCCTGGGATCCAGCCCCATGTTGAACCCCATGGCGGGCTCCCAGCTCAGCAGGGAGTCTGCTTCTCCCTCTCCCTCTGTCTCACCCGCTGTTTATGTTCTTAAAATACATATATATATATATATATATATATATATGAGCCAAGGAGGTCTTTTTTTTTTTAAGATTTATTTTTTTGAGAGAGAGAGAGCAAGTGAGCGCGTGAGTGCACATGCACGGAGAGGGGGGCAGAAGGGAGAATCTCAAGCAGACCCCCCCACTGAGCGCTGACCACCCCCCCACCCATGAGGGGCTCCATCCTACAACCCATGAGATCATGACCTGAGTGGAAATCAATAGTCATACCACACACTCCACAGACCTGGCCACCAAGGCGCTTCCCAAGGACAGGTTTTTATAGCACAGGGTGGTGCTTACAAGCAGAGCTCTCTATACAGACCTCAGGCTGCAGAAGAGACAGACTCACCGTCATTCGGAGTGCTGCATGGGGACAGAAAATAGCCAGCTGCCGCACTGGCTCATTATGAGTGTTGAAAAAGATAGTCATGGTGACCAGGACATCACAGCTGTGAGCCTGGCAGAAAGCATGGAGATCTGCAATGAGGCCAGACCTCTGCAGAAAGGCCTGAAAGAGAACAAACCGGGCAGCGATAAGGGCTATAGCAGGACCCTCCTTGTCATCAGCAACAAAATATGCTCACAAAGGGATTCTTCCCATTTTAACCTAGGGCTTATACTCCTTAAGAAAGGCATCTCATATTTACTCTGTGTTATCTATGTGCTGGGAAGCAATAGGTAGGACGGGAGAATATAGGTTTTGGGTTCAGATAGAATTGGTTTGAAACTCAGCTCTATGACCTATTAGCTATATGCTCAAGGAGTTTCTTTAAGCACCTCGGCCTTGAGTTTCTTCATTTGTAAAATGAGGATTAAACCGTTATTAAAAGTGATTGTTTTATTTTATTTTTTAAAAAAGTGATTGTTTTAAAACTTAAAGCACGATCATGTGTGGAACATGCCTAGCATGTACAAGGCTCTCCTGCTCTTGCCATCAAACAAGCAAGGCCTTTGTCTCAGAGGTATTTTTATTCCAAGACAGAACAATGGGGCATACAAATAACAACAGACCAGCCAGCTGCGTCCTTGACTCTTCCTTCTTTGCCAATCTCGACTCTTTCGCAAAGTCTCAGGTAGTATTTTCTCTCCTGGATACTACCATCAGCTATTTCAGACCAGGCTTTGCTGACACATTTTTTTTTTAAGATTTTACTTATTTGACACAGAGAGATCATAAGTAGGCAGAGAGGCCAGGCAGAGAGAGAGGGGGAAGCAGGCTCCATGCTAAGCAGAGAGCCGGATGTGGGGCTTGATCCCAGGACCCTGAGATCATGACCTGAGCCAAAGGCAGAGGCTTAATCCACTGAGCCACCCAGGTGCCCCTGCTGACACATTTCTAATGTGTTGATTTGTACTGTGTCAATTTATGCTACTTAGCAAGCCTTTTCTGTTCTTATGTTTGTTTCTCAAATGAGACAGCAAGGGAAGAGACCTGGCTCTCTTGTTTTATTTAAATTATTTAGTATTTTTACATAGTTTTTAGTAGAAAGCTGTACAGATGATGAAGGAATGTGTTCAGATCAGGTTGTCAAATGATTTAAATCAATATGACATAGAACCAGCAATAAAATACCATTATCAAAGTTAAATTCAGTCACCCATTCAACAAAATTTACTGAGCACCCACTGTAGCCAGGTACTGTCAAAGGTGTTAGAGATACAGCAGAAACAAAAGAGACAGGGTCCCACCTCTGGTGGAGCTGATAAACTACCAGAGGAATATAGGTAATAAACAAGGAAACCACAAAATTGATTACTTCAGTCCATTAAGTGCTATGAACAAAATTCAAAAATTGTTAAGAGATTTTTAAGCACAGAGGATATTATGTCAATAATAGCAGTCAGGAAAAACTTCTTAAAAGAGGGGACATCTGAATTAAGATCTGAGTGATAAGAAAGAGCCAGCTCTGCAAAGGGAAAAGCCAGTGCAAAGGCCCTGAGGTGGGAATGAGCTTAATGGTTTCAGTGCACAGAAAGAAAATTAGTGTGGCTGCAGCACTGTGAGTGCAGGAGTGGGGCTGGAAGGAGATGAGGACAGAGAGAGATGAAGGCCAGAACAAGGAGGGCCCTGTAAACCATACCAGGGCCTTTATATTCTATTCAGAATGCAAAGAGGGATGCCGGGGTGGCTCAGTCGTTAAGCGTCTGCCTTAAGCTCAGGTCATGATCCCAGAGTCCTGGGATTGAGTACCACATCGAGCTCCCTGCTCAGCAGGAATCCTGCTTCTCCCTCTCTCTCTGCCTGCTGCTCCCTGACTGTGTGTGCTCTTTCTCTCTCTCTCTCATAAATACATAAATAATCTTTAAAAAAAAAAAAAGGAATGCAATGAAAAGGCAGCAAAGGAAAGGGCTGATTTGACTGACTTACATCTTTTTTATTTTGTGGTTTTTTTTTTGGACTTACATCTTATAGAGATCACTCTGGCTGCTGTGGGGAGCATGGTTTGTAGGGTGCAAAAGCAGAAAAACCAGTATGCAGCCTATCACAGTGGTGCAGTGAGGGGTCATGGACTGTTGGAGTGACAGCAGACATGACAAAAGGTACACAGGTACGAGATATATTACAGAGGGGAGCCAGGAGTCAGGGGCAAGGTTGCACATATAACTGAGGGCTTTCTCTCCCCACCCACACCTCCACCTTGCTCTTACCTCCAAATCCATATATATTGCACTAATGGCCACCTTGGTGCCTTGTCGGAAGATGGTCTTCTGGTCCTTTCTCAGCATCTGCTCGGTAGTCAGTCCTAGATGATGGATGTGAGACCAGGGGTCAAACAAGAGAGCCCAGGGTCCCCTGACCAGGAAGTTGAGGACACCAAGATGGGTCAAGGATGAGGAAAAACACACCCCCTCTTTGGAGGCAATAGGGAGATAACCAAGAATGTAAATTACATAATAAAAAATTATTTTAAATAACTAAGTCACAATAGTTGCTGTTTCCCCTTTCTTCACAGTTTTAACTTTCTACAAGTACATGTGGTACTTTTCTTTCTTTTTTTTTTATGTCAACAGGTGGTATCTGGGCAAAAAAAAGTTTTTTTGTTCTCCTCCTTTGTCCTTTGTATATTCACCCTCAATGTTTCTTCTACTTCCCTAAACAATCATCTAGATCTCTCAGATAATTTAGTATTCCTTCAGCAGATTTTACTTATATACCTATGTTCCCTGATTAGACTAGAAACCTGACAATCTTTTTTTTTTTAATTTTTTAAAAAAGATTTTATTTATTTATTTAACAGACAGAGATCACAAGTAGGCAGAGAAGCAGGCAGAGAGAGAGGAAGGGAAGCAGTCTCCCTGCTGAGCAGAGAGCCCGATGTGGGGCTCGATCCCAGGACTCTGGGATCATGACCTGGGCTGAATGCAGAGGCTTTAACCCACTGAGCCACCCAGGAGCCCCGAAACCTGACAATCTTATATATTCCTCCTATTCCTACACAATAACCAGGAAAGAACAATCTAGTAAATGATTGGTAAGTTCATGATCAGACTCATATACTACCTTGGTTCTCTCTGCCATAAAGCTTAAATCATTATGCATACTCTGAAATTGTTTCAGTGGTGTTCAAGAATACAGTGAACAATCAGGGCGCCTGGGTGGCTCAGTTGGTTAAGCAGCAGACTCTGGATTCTGGCTTAGGTCATGATCTCAGGGTCATGAGACTGAGCCCATGTTGGGCTCTGTGCTGAGCATGGAGCCTGCTCAGGATTTTCTCTCTCCCTCTGTGCCGCTCCCTGCCAACTCTGCATGCTCTCTGTCTCTCTTAAAAAAAAGTACAATGGGGGTGCTTGGGTGGCTCAGTGGGTTAAAGCCTCTGCCTTCGGCTCAGGTCATGAATCCAGGGTCCTCGGATCGAGCCCCGCATCTGGCTCTCTGCTCAGCAGGGCACCTGCTTCCCTTCCTCTCTCTCTGCCTGCCTCTCTGCCTACTTGTGATATCTGTCAAATAAATAAATAAAATCTTTAAAAAAGTACAACAGACAAGTCTTGCCCATCTGTTTTCTCACGTGGAAGGGAGAGAAGTCAGTTTACTGTTTCACACCTGATACATCAAACTTTGCCTTTTGTAGAGAGTCAAAAATGTCATTTCTCTTGGGCAGATCTGGGAAGAGGGCCTCCAATTTCTCCACATATTTGCTGTCTTTTGGGGTTGCCTTTCCAACTTTCACGTCCATGTTGACACAGTCCAGGATGATTGTTCCTGTAGAGACAAGACAGAACTCAAATCCTATGGCCTTCCATTTGTGCCCTCTAGAACACATATAACCCTCGAACCAGACGGACATAATACAGAGAAGACCATGCAGCAAACCCACTGAAAATGAAACAAGAAACTGGGACTATGTCTTGAGTAAGACTTCCCAAATCCAAACTAAAATGTAGGCAGGAAAACGGGGAAAAGGCAGAAAGGGTGCCTGAGCATCCCAATCATTGGAGAATTTGAAATCAAGTCAGAGAGAGATGACCTTCCTTCTGTAGGCCAAATTCCATTAAAGAAACTTAGAAGTTGGGATAGAGTCTCACATCAGGCTCCCTGCTCAGTGGGGAGTCTGCTTCTCCCTCTCCCCTTGCTTGTGCTCTCTCTGACAAATAAAATCTTTAAAAAGGGGGCAACTGGGTGGCTCAGTGGGTAAAGCCTCTGCCTTCAGCTCAGGTCATGACCCCAGGGTCCTGGGATTGAGCCCCGCGTTGGGCTCTCTGCTCAGCAGAGATAAATAAATTAAATAAATAAATAAATAAATAAAATCTTAAAAAATCTTTAAAAAGAAAGAAAGAATGAGGATCCAGACTTAAAAAAAAAAAAAAAAAATAGACCTTTCTACTGTCCTAAACCAAAAGCCACCCTCACCATGCAGAAGGGCTGCAGTTTGCCCGTCCAAAATCTCTGGCGCCCCCTGCAGGATTCTCTCAGTCACCAGGGTAGCACAGGACCCCACCAGCTCAACGCAAACGTGGCAGGGAGGGCAGTGTTTCTGCTCGATGGGCCGATGGTCTAGCACCTCTACCACTGCCTCCTCTAGGGCTGCATCACTTCTGTGGGGGGGGGGAAAGAGAAAGAAAGATAGCTAGGGGCACTCCATCTGGTTTTAACCAAATCTCCACCTCACCCATGAAGGAAAATGCAAATCTTGGGCAAACCACAGGGAACTTTGGGCACTTCCACTTCTGCCGCACTGTTCTCAATTCTTTTCTTTCATGCTGTAACTGAAGTCATCTTTAAATAGTGTGTAAGTGAATTTGGTGAAGTATCAGCCACAAGTATCTTATCCACGTATCTGATGCCCTTCGGAGTTTCTTTCTGACACCCTTGACATCCAATCTCTCATTTAAATCTCTCCTGTCATTTCAATCCACTTAATACCCAAATTCCATATAGTTCACCAGATTCTATGGCTTCTATCCCCATCCCCCCACCATGGGTCTGCTACTGCCTTATTCTAGGCCCTCAATATCTCTCACCCAGATCATTCCAACAGTTTTCCTAACCAAAGACCTACTCCCAATCTTGGACAACCCCCCCCCCCACAAGCTCTTGGCCACAAAGCAGCTGAATGATCATTTGAAAAATGCAGATTTGATTCTGTTAGCATCTGGAATAAATATAACTCACAATAGTCCCCCACGACCCTAACACCAAGTCTAGTCTCCTTGGCAGGGCCTACAGGGTCTCCACCATCTGGTCCCCACTCACCTCACTAGTCTCACCTCTTCGTCTATCCTACTTCTCTGTCACATTTTATGCTCTAGTCAGGCAAAACAAATTCCAGTTCTCCCAATTCACTATGCTATTTCATGCCTGCCTGGCTTTGCTCATATTAATTCCTTTCTCCGCCTGGATGCTCTTCCTAACTATTTTGCCTCCCCACTCCAGGAGCAAACACTCAAGAATGAGATCAAGGGTCAACTCTCTTAGAAAACCTTTCCTCACACCCTCCACTCCCCTTGAGTACATTTCACTACCCCATCCTTCATGCACCTCTTGTCCTCTAGAGTGTCGGTTATCACACACCTCTAACACCCATCACAATGCAACTGAGATATTGCCTTATGTAGGAAATAATTAAAAATAAATAAAAAATTAAAAATAGAGTTGCAACCATTATTCAAAGGCTTCTACTACAATAAATCTGCCACAAAATAATGATACCAAAGGCAGATTTAAATGATTTGAGTTCTCCTTCAGTTTGACCTCTCCATGTTTCTATTTCTTCTTTGCTACTTGCATAACTGAAGAACTAGCAGTATTTTCTGTATCTGATATGACCTAGCAATCACAAGTGGCCTGTGAGATCCCCAAGAGAAGAAATTCTTTCTTCCTCTATTTCTTACTCATCAGAACTCAATATGGCACATGATAAATATCGGCTTAACTTCCTTCTACTTACTTGGGTAAGACATGATGGTCAACAAGGATAAGGGTGAGTTGGCCAGCTTGGTGCAAGGCATGGAGGTCAATCTCATCCCGGAAAATCAAGAGGGACTCTGGAATGTTAATCTTCTGAAGGAAGAAGACATTGTCACCTCGTAGAGGTAGCTCAGCACGATTTATATTTAAGACAGGCACAAAGACTTCCTCAGCCTCTGTCGTCTGGATCAGGAAAGTGAAAAGAACACGTTTGGGGATAAACAGGAAAAACGTTTGGGGACAAATGGGAAAAACAACAAGATTATTGGGACTAAAGGAGATGTGATCTTGGGTAAGTCACTGCCTTTTTCAAAGCCACAATTACCCAGTTGATAAAAATAAAAGGACAACTCTTGCCCTCTCTCCTCCTTAGCATAACATGAAGGTCAACAAGAAAACTCATGGAAAAGACCTAGTTCTAGATGTTGCAGAGAAGGGATTATCAGTCTTCAAGAGCTGACCTGGGCATGACATCACTGGTACCCAGAAGAACTCAATAATCAACTGCTGAATATTGCTTTATGATGTATAAATTCTTCAAAATACATCTATTCATTTGATCCTCCCAGCAACATTGCAAAATAGTATCGTTTCAGTTTCTACAGATGGTAACCTGAGACTCCACAAAGTTAAGGAATTTAACTGACCCAAGACTAAATAGTGTTAAGTCGTAGAGCTGGGTCTTGCATCCAGATCTTTTCATTCTAAGGGACTCTGTCACTAAGGACTCACCTTTGCCAGGTAAAAAGCCAGGGCAAGAGCTGACACCATGGAGTCCAAATCACAGGCTTCATTTCCCAGCACAACGTGTAGCGGCCGGGACTCCTGGTGAGGAAAGAGAATGGGACACTAGAAACATCTCTATTTCCATTTACCTTACACGAGAGCAGGGCCTCACACACCTCTTTTTTTTTTTTTTTTAATTTTATTTATTTATTTGATAAACAGAGATCACAAGTAGGCAAAGGCAGGCAGAGAGAGAGAAGGAGAAGCAGGTTCCCCGCTGAGCAGAGAGCCCGATGTAGGGCTCGATCCCAGGACCCTGGTATCATGACCTGAACCAACTGAGCCACCCAGGCGCCCCACACACCTCTTCTTACTGATCCTCACAGAGGAGGTAGACCAGATAATCTTACAGGTCCTCATTTCATGGATGAGGATATTGACTAGCTGAGAGGACAGCCATGTTCAGCTAAGTTTAATCATTCCACCTGCACCCCGTAAGTAGAAGAGTGCCCTTTCTTCTACTACACTGTCTCCTTGATTGTCAACTTAAAAAAAGAACAGCAGTAAATAATTCTCTAACTTCTTATGCTTCTTTGGGCACTGGAGAACTCAAAGGTAGAGCAGTTGAGGTAGCTGACGTATTCAAGCCATTATCAACCCCAATTTGTTTTTTGTTCCCCGATCCCCGCCATTTTCAAAATAGGGAAAAGCATCCTTATAGTTCTGAATCCTAAGAGGTGAAGAGCTCTTGAAAATAAAGGTAAAAATAAAATCTTGTCCAGTCATCCAGCCCATGAAAACTCCCCCAACCCAGAGAAGCCACCTGATAACCAGATACAACCAACACTCTCACTACCCAGGACCCAGATACTTCCCCAGCAGGTTCAGATTAAAACAAGAACACTTGGGGCGCCTGGGTGGCTCAGTGGGTTAAAGCCTCTGCCTTTGGCTCAGGTCATGATCTCAGGGTCCTGGGAGAGAGCCCTGAGTCAGGCTCTCTGCTCAGCGGGGAGCCTGCTTCCCTTCCTTTCTCTCTGCCTGCCTGCCTACTTGTAATCTCTGTCTGTCAAATGATTAAATAAAATCTTAAAAACAAACAAAACAAACAGAACAAGAACACTTGCTGCTGCTGCTGGAACTTTATTTATTTTTAAAATATTTATTTATTTATTTATTTGACAGAGATCACAAGTAGGCAGAGAGGCAGGCAGAGAGAGAGAGAGGAAGCAGGCTCCCCACTGAGCAGAGAGCCTGACTCGGGGCTCTCTCCCAGGACCCTGAGATCATGACCTGAGCCAAAGGCAGAGGCTTTAACCCACTGAGCCACCCAGGTGCCCTGGAACTTTTATTTTTGTAATTTATTTTTATCATTTACTATTTAGTATTTTTTTAAGTAATCTCTACACCAAATGTGGGGCTTGACCCATGAGTCTGAGATCATGAGTTGCACGCTCCACCAACTGAGCCAGCCAGACACCCTGGAACTTTTATTTTTAAAGGCTTGAAAAGCCTGGGTATTAATAAGAACAAAGGAGGGAGGAATATCTGCTATTACTAACCTTGTTCCCTTGCATCTCCCTAGCTATCAGAGTCTTAAATAAAATGCTTTAAAAACCACAGTGCCGGGGCGCCTGGGTGGCTCAGTGGGTTAAGCCTCTGCCTTTGGCTCAGGTCATGGGTCTCAGGGTCCTGAGATCAAGCCCTGCATCAGGCTCTCTGCTCAGCGGGGAGCCTGCTCCCCCCTCTCTCTCTGCCTGCTGCTCTGCCTACTTGTGATCTCTATCTGTCAAATAAACAAATAAAATATTAAAAAAAAAAATCACAGTGCCCACAATAGCAGAGACAAAACAGAGTTTTGCTTTGTTTGGAAACATTTATTTTATTGAATATGCCACACAGTACTCTAATATTTTTACATGCATGAACTAACCATTTAATCTTCAAAACAACCCCAAAGAGGTAGATACTTTAAGAATTATTATTTCAGGGGGCGCCTGGGTGGCTCAGTCATTAAGCGTCTGCCTTCAGCTCAGGTTATGATTCCAGGATCCTGGGATCAAGCTCCACATCAGGCTCCCCTGTTCAGCGGGAAGCCTGCTTCTCCCTCTCCCTCTCCCACTCCCCTGCTTTTTCCTGCTCTTGCTCTCTCTCTCTATCAAATAAATAAATGAAATATTAAAAAAATATATCTCTTGGGGCGCCTGGGTGGCTCAGTGGGTTAAGCCGCTGCCTTCGGCTCAGGTCATGATCTCGGGGTCCTGGGATCGAGTCCCGCATCAGGCTCCCTGCTCAGCAGGGAGTCTGCTTCCCTCTCTCTCTCTGCCTGCTTCTCTGTCTACTTGTGATCTCTCTCTGTCAAATAAATAAATAAAATCTTTAAAAAATATATATATATATATATATCTTTAGGGGCACCTGGGTGGCTCAGTGGGTTAAGCCTCTGTCTTTGGCTCAGGTTGTGATTTCTGGTTCCTGGGATTGAGCCCCACATTGGGCTCTCTGCTCGGCGGGGAGCCTGCTTGCCCCTCTCTCTCTGCCTGACGCTCTGCCTACTTGTGATCTCTCTCTCTGTGTCCAAAAAAAAAAAAAAAAAAAATATATATA